ATTAAAGGTCACTTTTAGTGACATTTCTCGATACTTTTAGGCATTAATAATTTACTTTTTCTTGTTTTTTCTTTTGAAGTCTTGTTCTGCATGAGCACTGAACGAAAAAGTTACTGTAATAAATTAACTGCAAAGTCACTATAAGTATATTTATATAAGAATTAATGGTATATAGTTATAAAAACAACGATTAGAATAAATATTAAAAATGCGTGAGTTGTATCTGTTATACTTAAAAGAGGTTTTCATTTTAATTCCATTTTTTTGTAAACACACTATGAATAATCAGAGAAAAAATTATGTTTCAAACAAATAACAATTTTTAAACTCTATATTATTTTACTTATTTTAATGCCTTTGATGAACTGAGTTCAACCAACTATCACATTTGGGGTCTAAAGTGAATAATTACGAAGTTATAAGGCGTTACAAAATTAATTTAAAAAATGTGTGTTTGCTTCTGCATTTAGGTGTCAGTCTCCCTGTATATAAACATATTTTCAAAGTAAAGGACATAAAGTTACCACCTACGTGCTGGTCATGAATATTGCCAATAATATTTGCCAGAGCATTGGCCAACGTGAAGAAGAGCCTTAAGAATCAGTCTTAAACTGTTGCATAAAGTAGAACATTATACAACTGATTACGAAAAGTTGATTATGTCACAGTTACGAAATGAAAATAAATAAAAATGCCTTTTTTTGGTTTTTAAGTCGAAAAATTCAAAAATCTAAAAAAAACGAAAAATCGAAAAAACCAAAAATCGAAAAAAAGGCAATGAATAGTGGACATTTCATATTTGAAAATTTGACATTACGTTTAACAACAAAAAATAAAATAAAAGCTGTAAATTGCGTTTTATTTTTTAAATAATTGAACACCGTTATTGAAAACTACCTAGAAATGTTGGGGGTAAAATTTTGACGTACTCCTTTAGGGATAATGGGTAAAAACGTTTACTTTTTCAAATTTTACGCAGGTATTATCAAAAATCAGATCGGAAACACTGCACATATCCTTTATTTTTATTATTTCTTAAAAAAAAAACGTCGTAGGGCAATCAAATACAACAATTTTCTGAAATATTTGATTGAAAAGAATGATGGTGAATCATTTTTTAACCAAACACAATTTTAATAATAATCAAGTCAAAATTAGAAAAAAATCTTGTATGTAACACGTTACATTAATTGACTTCCTAATATTTTAAATCATCGAACGGTATTTTCCGTAAATAATTAAATGATTAAATCATAAATAATTACCAGCATATAAGTACTAAAACATTTTTTTCTCTCATTTTAATCTTCGTTTAGTAATTTAAACTTCGTTTAACACAACGGTGGAATCGGCCCTTATTGATAAAGTGTTGTTGCCCTCATCATAAATGAATCGTGCTAACAAATATAGTCAAAAAAAACGAGCATGAAATACAAAGAACAATTAGAGAGAGAAAAAAAAGAAAGATCGTCAGTATCGATAACATAAAATCAGAACAGTTTCTAATAATTGCTCTGGTAGGTTTTCATCTGGCCACCCTGTATATTGAGCAATAAAGTTATTAATTTTTGGAACAATAAAACCAAGTAATAATTTCGAAGTTGCAACAAAAATAGTTATTTTTAAGTTGTGAGTCAGGTATAACTAAAACAAAAATCACATAAAATTAAACTTTCCGAATGGATGTAATTTCTACGTTTTAATTCTATCGTTATAAAAGCGATTTTTTGTTAATACCCGTTTGTTAAAATGACCAGTGACTAATAAATATTGTATTCAAACGTTAACAATTAGTCACTAACAGTGATTTTTCAAGTTAACTGAGTTTACATGTTTTTTTAAAAGTATGTTAAGTGTTTAGTCACAGAATTTATCATACCATTCATAAAAAAATACCAGTAACATTATTTTTATTATTGCAAGACGGAAACAACATACAAACAAAGAGAAAACTTCAGCTATTATTCGTCTATATTTGGTTTTTGATAAATAATCTGATTTGGCATCGCTATTATTAATTTTTTTAATAATTAGATATACATGGTGTTTCAAAAACGTATGTCATAAATTCATCCTCAGATAGATTACCAAAAAATAAGTGGATTTGGCTATATTTACCTACATCAAAAACTGACTTCCAACAAAGTTACAGGGTGTTAAAGTAACATTCAGAAAAACGCTTTTTTTTGTAAAAAATTTGCTGTTGCGATTTTTTCTTCGAAATTTTTGCCAGTGCTGTAGATTTGAAAGCCCAATATTCTAAGGAGAAAAAAATTTAAAGCTACCCCTTTAAAAAAAGTTGGGGGGTTGGGTACCTTTTATCCCCCCGTATTTTTTTTACAGAAACTTGCTTCATTTAATTTAATAGTAAATAAAAAAATTATTTTTTTTTAATTAAACAATTAACAAAAAATTAACAATTGAAAATAAACATCTGGTAATAAATATTATACATATTTTATAAACTATTTAATTTAGTAAATATTCAACATGTCCTCCTCCTTCTTGAATACAAAAATATAAATAAAAGAGGTAGCTGTTAAATGTGACAAAATTTTATTTTTAACCGACTTCAAAAAATGGGGAGGTTCTCAATTCGTCGAAATATTTTTTTTATGTATGATCAGCGATAATTCTTTAACACGGTTTCCGATTTCAATGATTGTTTTTTTGTTAGAAAGGGGGTACTTCAGGGGTGGTCCCATATAAACTTAGTCAAAATCTAATAATTGGGTCCATGAGAAAATCCTCACTCTTCATTTTTTATGCTTTACCACCTTGTCCGATTTATATGATTCTTTTTTTGTTAGTAAGGGGGTACCTCAGGGGTGATGGTATCTGCACGTTTTGAAGTCGGTTTTTTTAAATTTTTAATTTCTAATACTTGTTCGATTTGTCCTTTCGGTTTAGTAGAATCGTGCAACTAACCCAAGTAACTTTCTAAATTAAAATGTGTAAGTAAAAGTACCACTTTCCGCACCGTCATTGACTCCTACCCACCCAATGGTTCCATAATTTAGATGTGCTTATATTAATGAATCCTATAATATTTTCAAATGTAAAAATTCTAGGAATTCCTGAAACTTTTGTGAAATATATTTAGTTTGTAGGTTTCCTATCTAAATGACTGTAATAATTAGTCCTGTTTCTGGAATTTTTGTAATATTATCACTAAAGGGTCATAATTGAGAAGTCCAGGAGAGTATAATATAAATGACATATATTATGTTTTTCCTATATTTAATGTTTATTTATTATAATTAAATTTCGTTACAATTTTTTTTATTCATTTTCAACCTTATGTTTAACAGCATCTTAAAGTATTAGATCTATAAAAAATTACGGTATCATGTAATTTTTCTGTCTTTATGCAGTGTAAACATAACATAAACTGTTTTCTTTCAAATGTACTCCTGTTCTGTAATTGGGTTTAACCTGTTGAACAATGTATAAATAAATAAAATAAAATAAAATAAAATAAAATAAATGGTATAAGCCCCAGTACAGTACCTTGGGGACATCATAAGTAATAATACTATCGTCACTGATTTTCCCGTCAATCTCTAAGTACTGAGAGAGTACCGTTCAACAAAATTATATGCGATTCTTTGTATGCCATAAAATTTTAGTTTTTCTAATAGTTTTTCATAATCTACTGTGTCAAAGGCTTTAGAAATATCTACAAAGATAAATAAGGAAGGTGTGTTTTATCTATCTAATGCATTAAATAGGTACATTCTTTAAAGTGAGTAAATTGCATCCTTGGTAGATTCTTACTCTCTAAAGCCAAACTGATTTATAAAATATGTATTTTTCCAAAAAACTAATAACCCTCCTTTTAAATATTTTGTCGAAAATATTACTAATTTTTGAAGATAGCGTTATAGACCGATAATTGGTGTTTTCTTGTCTCCTCCTTTGTATATAATGCTTAATTAATCCTGTTTTTGGTGTCGTGAGAAAAATAACAGAATTTAAAAATCTATTAATTATGTAGGTTAAGGATACCAAGATATGTTTGATGTCTGCTCTAATGTTATATATTCCTAATTGATATTATATATATTTACAGGGGCCCGGGCTCAAATGGGGACCCGGCAGCAGTAGATTCAAGTAGAGGAGGAAAAATTTTTGCTTGAAGACCTTTTGTTATTTAATTTGTTATAAAATTGTCGCGGGGTCCGATCTGAAGAATTGTCCTGGGGCCCGGTCTGGCTCTCGGCGGCCCAGTATATTCAAAAACATGGTTCTGTGGCAGGAATCATGAAGAGCTTGAGGGGTATCATCCCGAGAAAATCTCTTTTATTTCAAATGATCTAGAACTATTTTGTGGTGTCTCAAAGGCAGTTTATCAAGCATCAACTTGGCTAGAACAATACAACTACAAATACAAATGTTAAGGAGTACATCCTGTTTTTTGCTCTTTACTTTATAAATCATTCATCTACTGGCCCTTGGGGCCCGGATAATAATCGCCAAACTCGGAGGCTCAGGGTCAAAATGACGTTAGCAACCCTATCTAATAATTAAATTGTTAGTTTAACAAAAAAATCTGTAACATCGATCTGACAGAACACATTTTGGGACGATTCTGTTAGGAAGCAGACGAAACAGCGAATATTTATCAAGACTAAAATTCTCTTCAATTGGATGGATAAACCAAAACTACACTTAGGTCATGTATCTCATTGGCAAAATGCTTTGACCAGTAAGACAAGTCATCATATTTGCAAATTATCGTTTACTTTTGTTAACTTTCGCTGATTTTTCAGATGATAATAATAATAATAATAATAATAATAATAAAAAGTTATAGTAAAAATATTTTGTAAAAAAATGTTAGTTGATATTGGCGGTAACATTACGTCATGTCACATACTTGAAAGCAACTATTTCTTGCATATATACGAACGACAGGCAAGTAGGCGGTACTGTGGAGGCCAAAAGACATTCTTTTCCATTCCAATACTGTCAATCAAAGAAACGAAAGAAATTCTCACCTGACGTAAAGGGTAAACTCCATAAAATGTATTAAAAAAAATCCAAGAGTACTATCCACTAAAACATTCACCAAAAGTACGAAAACACTTTCGGGCAGCAGCACCAGCAGCAAATAGTACCGGAACAAAAATCGCGTACCATACGTATTCAACTTTTTACTTCTTGATGATTGTGACGCGCGCTCAGGTTTGCAAGTACCAGAGACACAGCAGAGGAGGCTGTGAATAATTTTCTCTCTCTCTTTCCCTTTCGTTTGCGTCTCTTTCTATCACATTCGCTCTCGTTGATGTTCGTCTAGCGGTCGTACCCACCTATTGCCGTAACCACAGGTAAGAGTGCTTCACCTGTTGGAAGTGTACAGGGTGGTCTTCGAAGGTCATGTAGGCAGTGGCACATGTCGTTACGGGGAACCGTTCAGAGGAGTTGCCCGTACAGTATGGTGCAATTGAAAGAAATAAATTCATTATTTACAGGGGGTTGAAAATTAATACGTACTTGAAAAGTTATCTATTTTTAGGAAAATGTTTTGTATATGAGGTAGTACCTAAATCCTAAAAATGTTTAACCTTTGTGTCGATACTTTAAAAAGGAAGTGAAAAGTTGAGTCGAATATAAATATAAAACAAAGAAATGGCCCAAGTACATTTCCTTGATGGATTCCCAGTGTTATATACAGGGTGTCAATTTGAAAATTATCAATGCGAATATCTCGCAAAATAAAGAAGAAATATAGATAATGTTCACTACTCTAATTTGGTTTATTGCATTTATTTTATTTTGATATTAACATTTTTTTTCTTATCCATTTTAAGTAATTTTATCTTTAAATAAATATCTACTGATTAAAAACAAAAGTAATATGATATTTTACGATTGCAGTTTATATCATTTTCATTTTTTTTAGACAGAACATACTGTTCAAATACAGAATACATAACAATCAATTTAAGAATTTTTATCAGTGTAATCCATTAAGACCATATAGGTTGAGCATGGAGTACACGGATGACTTAAAAATATAATATAATACAATATACAATTTTTTCTACACTAGACTTAAAACTAGTATACATAATTCTCTCTGAGTCTTTAGTTTGTTACATTTATTTTATTTTGATCTTAAAGTTTATTTTTTTTTTTTTTTTAAATATTTATTTTGGTTTTCTTTTACTCATTTTCAATTATTTTATCTATTTCTTTAGATCCTAATGTTTTTATATAAGTTTTAAAAATCGATTTTAAAAGATTAGTTGAGTTTAGTTTTCTTATATAAATTTTATACATATCAGGTAGGTAGTTGAACAAGCGGGGTGCTACAAAATCGAAATATCTCGTACCTATGGTTTTTTTAGCAGTATTTGTTTGTATATAATCTTTTGTTTTAGTTCTAGTATGATAATAATGGCCAGGTGTTTGTAGGTAAGTGCGGTTTTGAAATAAATGAATGATTAGACTAAAAAGATATAGCTGCCTCAAAGACATTACATTTGCTTCTTTAAAAAGAAGATTAGTGTTAAATCTTATATTTTTACAATATATAATTTTTAAAATTTTTCGCTGTAGGATTTCGACCTGTTCTAGATGACACCACCATTTAATCTCTCATTATTGAAGAAATTGATAATCAGCTAGACATTGACGGAAACAGGAACCAGAATGAAAATTTAATACATTTTCAGCAAGACGGAGCACCACCCCACTACGTTCTTCCAGTCAGGCAATTTTTGAATGACGCTTTTCCAGGTCAATGAATTGGACGGAGAGGTTCAATCGAATAACTGGCGAGATCTCCCGATCTTACACCTCTTGACTTTTTTCTTTATGGACATTTGAAATCCATCGTATTTAAAACAAAACCGGATTCAATAGAAGATCTTCGGCAACGAATTATTACGGAATATTCCAAGAGAAGTGTTCCACAATGTTAGAACAGAATTTGAAAATCGATTATACTACTGTTTAGCACAAAATGGAACGCATTTTGAACATCTAACCAAATAAAATATCATTAAATTTTTTTATTTGAATTTTTTGTTTTTGTTACCCCCTGTATTGAATGGAAAAAAATTCTTACACAGGTGAATACTACTGAATGAGACCTTTCATTTGAGGTATCACAAAAGGGGTAGTGCCATTTGACATTTTAAAGTTGGGGTGTGTCGCGTCTAAGGGGTGACTCACCCGCTCACTTAAAAATAGTGATTCTAGTTCCCCTAACTCTATAACATTTCTGCCAAACGGCGTTTTTCCAACTTTTTTATTTTGCGAGATATTCGCACTGAAAGTTTTCAAATTGACACCCTGTATAGTGTGTTCACGGATGGACTTATACAAATATTTATTTTAAATTAAAAAAAGTAATTCTTAATAATTTCTTTTGCTTGTTAAATAAACACGATTCACGTTGAGAAACTTCGATTTTGTTGTACAGGGTGTGCGAAGAAATACAACAATTGTAGATTTGCAAAATTAAAAATGTTTAAGTAAAATATTTTGGAAGCGCTTTAATAAAAAAACTTAATTTGGATTATCTAAATTTCCTCACAAGTTCTTCATTTGAGCTCTTGAAAAAAAAATTGTATTAAATTTTCTTTTCTTTAGAACAGTCATAGCCGTAGTATAAAAAAAATATTAAATAATAATAAATTTTAACGAAGAAAGAATATAGAAGAAATATGACATGGGTATGAAGTCGATGAACTAAAGAATTACATTAAGAGAAACAAAATCTAAAAAATATAATTATTATACAAGGTGTTTCTAAAAGGTATGTCATAAATTCATCCTCAGATACCTAGATTACCAAAAAATAAGTGGATTTTTCTATATTTACCTACATCAAAAACTGGCTCCCAACAAAGTTACAGGGTGTTAAACTAACATTCAGAAAAACTTTTTTTTTGTAAAAAATTTGCTGTTGCGATTTTTTCTTCGAAATTTTTGCCAGTACTGTAGATTTGAAGGCCCAATATTCTAAGGAGAAAAAAAATTAAAGCGACCCCTTCATAAAAAGTTGGGGGGTTGGGTACCTTTTAACCCCGCCGTATTTTTTTTGACATAAAGAAACTTGCTTTATCGATACTGAAATCAAAAAGAACTATGAATTTTTAAAATTTGTTTATAGTGAAATGAATTTTGTATCCATCTTAGTTAACGAGCTATTTACAATTTTTTAACTGAATTTCTAAAGCAATTCGTCCGTCTTGCACTTAACATATCAATAAAACTAAGAGTATGTCAGGAGTTATTGTAAAAAAAACGCATATAAAAATCAGTGGTGTGTCTAGGACTGTGCTTGAGCCGGTCCTGCAAAAACTACCTCTTTTGTTTATATTTTTGCAAAAAAGGTATTTATAATATTGGATTGGCGCCATAAAAATGGTGTGCCACCCGTCATCATAGGTTCACCATGCCACTGATAAAAATACACGTTAGTTTGGAAATGTATTTAATAAATTTAATAGTAAATAAAAAAATTATTTTTTTATTTAAACAATTAATAAAAAATTAACATTTAAAAATAAACATTTGGTAATAATTATTATACATATTTTATAAACTATTTAATTTAGTAAATATGTCCTCCTCCTTCTTGAATACAAAAATATAAATAGAAGAGATTTTTATATGCGTTTTTTGTACAATAACTCCTGATCTACTCTTAGTTTTGTTGATATATTAAGTCCAGGACGGACGAATTGCTCTAGAAATTCAGTTAAAAAATTGTAAATAGCTCGTTAAATAAGAAAGATACAAAGTTCATTTCGCTATAAAAAAAATTTAAAAACTAATAGTTCTTTTTGATTTTAAGATAGATAAAGCAAGTTTCTTTATGTCAAAAAAAATACGGGGTGGGGGGGGGGGGGGGGGGGGGGTTAAAAGGTACCCAACTCCCAACTTTTTTCAAAGGGGTCGCTTTAAATTTTTTTCTCCCTACAATATCGGGCCTTCAAATCTACGGTACTGGCAAACATTTCGAAGAACAAATTTACAAAAAAAAAAACGTTTTTCTGAATGTTACTTTAACACCCTGTAAGTTTGTTGGGAACCAGTTTTTGATATTGGCAAACATAGCCAAATTCACTCATTTTTTGGTAATCTATCTGAGGATGAATTTATGACATACCTTTTTGAAACACCCTGTAGAAGGCAAGTGGTAAGATAAGTTAAAAAACCAATGGAACAGGAATATTAAATAAGGAACAAATGGAAGTGTTAATTAAAATAATGACTAATAGAAAGAATATGAACAAAAATAAAGTTTTGAAAATAAATTAGGAAATAAATTATAAGAAAATAAGGAAGTAGGCATGCAATTAAAAAAAAAAAAATGCAAAATGGCAAAAATAAATAAAAGAAATATCAAAGATTTAAAAAAATAATTATACATAGAGAAAATAGAAACAAACATGAGAATGAAAATTATTGATAAAATATATAGGTATATTATCTATAGAAACACCACTTATTTGAAAACGAATTAACACGCTTTTTGATAAAAAAAAAAAATGAAAAGAGACGAACATAATCGCCATTTTTACTAAAAATTAGTAGTTTGTGCAACAAGAGTGGATATTATGGCCATAACGCACGAAATCGTCTGAGTGCGATGTGGACCATCCACTCGAGTTGTACAGTATATTTTTTCTACGACCCACTAGAGAAAATTTACAAATAAAAAAGTATTTTAGTTTATTAAGACAAAATAACTAATTTTAAAATAATTTATGACTTTTAATAATTTTTAAAATAAAATAAACGAAAAAAAAAGAAAAAAGGTAATTTTACTTTTCCCCATGCGAGAATCGAACTCCAGTCTTCCGTGTGTAAGGCCAGAACGCTGACTACATGACCACCTACTCTTTTATTTTTATTGCTGCTTTAATATTCCAAATTAAATTGACTTCATATAGTTTTATTTAAATTAACAAATTATTTATAATTATAGACGAAATACAAACAGAAATGCTATTATTTATCGATTCTAAACAAGAATAACCCATTTTTATATATGTTTAATATCAATACCTAATAAATATACTGACAATTAGTATGATAGAATTGTCACGTATTTAAAATTTTAAAAATAACAGTCGGTTGATCAAAATATGGACGGTGATTGGTGAATTTCAGTTTTTTGCAGTGTTCTTACTACCTACAATGGATATGAAATATACTCGTTCAGTTAAAGGCAATAGCATACTTTTTCGTTTTGTAATCTATGCGTAGATAAGCTTATATCCATGTGGGTGTAGAAAAATGTAATTTTAAGCTTTACTTATGTCTTAAGATCTAGCGGTGCAAATAGCTCTGATTGTCTTCCATATTCTGCTTTTCAATTTTAATATTTTCAATTTCATTTTTTAAATTTGTTGTACCTTCTCTTTGATATTTATTATAATCTTTTCTTTTTTATGTCATTCCCCTATTTTCAGTTTTCTTCTCAAATTTCTTATTACTCTTTTACTTTTATATCTCATAGAATATTTTCTCTTTTTTTCCTTAGCTGTATTACTGTTTTCCAGTTTTATTTGTTTTTCCTTCTCTTTACTTATTATGCTTTTATTCTCTTGGTTGATTTTCTTTTTTTTATATTTATTTTGTATTTCTATCTACATTGTTTCAATTTCTTCAATATTATCTTCCATATTTGGTATTTTTGTTTATGACACCTTTTTAATTTTTAGCATATTCTCATTCTACATATACATGCATATTTTTAAAATTTTATTATGTCTTTTTATTCTATCTTACATCCTTTTTTATTTAGATTATTTCTTCAATAACTTGTTTCTATTATTTTCTAAATTTTCTGTTCATGTAACTTTTCTACTTTTGTTATAACCTGGTTATAATAGAAGCAAAAATAATGTGCTAGAAATTAAAAAGGTTTCATAAACAAAAATACCAAAATTGAAGAAATTAAAACAATGTAGGTAAAAATATAAAATGTACGAAAAGAAAAATGAACCAAGATAATAAAGGCATAATAAATAAAAAGAAGAGGAAACAAATAAAACTGGAAAACAGTAATAAAGCTAAGGAACAAAAGAGGAAATATTTATTCTTTGATATATAAAAGTAAAAGAGTACTAAGAAATTTATGAAGAAAACTGAAAATGACATATTTCTAGTACAAATGGCGTTTAAATTCGTTTCTTTTTATTTTTTTTTTATCAAGAAGCGTGATAATTTGTTTTTAAAATTTTTCAAATACGTGGTGTTTCTATAGATAGTATAAAAACACCAAAGTAATTTTTTGCTTGTTTTTGACTCTGTTTTCCAGTTTCTATTGTTTTTTTTTTCACAATAGCAATAATTGTCTTTTGTTATTCTTTTTACGAAATATGTGTTGGTTATTTTTTTAATAGGTCCAATATTTCGGGTTCAGAGCAAATGAACAGTCAAAAATAACATGGTCCTGTAATTTGTGTTTTACCTGATTTTATAGTTGTTATGGAACCGTCCAAAACATTAGTGTTGTTGTTATACTCAACCATATGTACATTTAGGTGTAATACTGGTTGCATACTAATAGATTGGAAAAGGCTTAACCACCCCTACAATGATTCAGGTGCAATAGCCAATTAGGTGTAATAATTTAAATATTGCGCCTAATAAAGTAAGAAGGGAACTTCCTTTTTTTGGTTAGAGCCAGAAGTTATAATAAAAGGGTTAAATTGAGTATTGTAAATGTAATCGAATGAGATGATGAGTGGACGTCCGTGAGACACACTCATTCTGCTAATTTAGATCGATTTCCTCCTGTATTTTATTGTAAAATAAATACAGTGAAAAATAAAGTTGCACATTGATTTGACTAAAATGACCTTCCTAGACGAGAGTGTTGGAGTTGATTAGAGAAATCAACAAGAAGGATCCAACAATAGTCTAAATTCGGTCCCTTTGACCGGAATAGTAATTGAAGGATTTAATTAAGTTTAAATCAAAATTCGAAGGTTATACATTTAATGAATAGCAAATTAATTACTAAAAACAGTAGATACTTTAAAGAAATAATAATTTTGTTACAATTAATAATTTGGCATACATACCGTAATACTAGGGTACGTGCGTAAGTATGCAACAATTAATAGTGACTGAAAAAAACTAATTTTCCTAACCTGTGCGGCCTAGAGCCATCGTGGATTGCTTTGCAAAAAAACTTCACAAATTTGCTAAATTTTATTGAATTTGGTAATGATTATTCGTAATTTGCAAAAATACCGTAATACTTGGAATTCCTAACGATTTTCTACAGCAACTTTTTTGACCCGAAACAGAACAGGTTCAGGTTAAAGAATTGTTGGGATCAAAATAACCTATAAAGGGTTTTGTAATATTTTATAGATGACCTGTCGGGACCCAAATTATCCACATCTAATATACTAACACTGGTCAAATTCACAACATTTGATCGGTCAATTGCCAGAACTGCCATCCCTAAAAAAGGAAATGTCATTGACCGAGTTTGCAAAAAGGTTCCATGATATGAAAAACTATGAAAACCAATAGGTCCAACTATTTCAATTTTATATTTAGAAATGATACATTTGTTTTATATTTTACAAGCTTCTTATATTCTGCAAGAGTGAATAGTAGAAAAAGTACAGTTTCTTTGGAATTTATTTAACTATTTTATGAATAGAACATTGTCAAAGCAAGGCCATATACCTCCAGACTATCTATCTTTAGACGAGTTTACAAGCTAGTTTCTGGAAAATTTCTTTATAATAAAACTCTGTGGCTGTTTTTAATCTTTATTTTCTAATATTTTCAAAATAAATAGTCACAAATAGTTCAAGTAATATTCAACAAGTAGGTATACAAAAACATTTCTTCAATAAAACACAAAACAATAACATTGGTCGATCTACATTTTATTTATTTTTTAATGTTATTTTCACCGTTTTGGCTTCTCCAAGGCAAAATTCCCCACTTGGCATACTCGTATTCAATAAAAATGTTCACTAACATAATAAGGCTAAAAGAAAAACATAGCAAAGCACAAAAACTATAGACATTATGTAGCGTTCCATTTTCTGTCCAATTCTCGTATTTGTCTTCCACAGTCTTTTTTATTATGCTGTATTCGTAGATGAATCGGTCCCTAAAAAGAAAGAGTATTTGAAGTAAAAAATATATATCCAAAATTGGAGTAACCAAGAATCTCTGGCAGTAAAATTGTTAACGACTGGCCCTCGTAATCGGCGTCTATGATGACTACAAATGACTCTATTATCCCGCATTAGTGAGACATCAGGAGCCAAACAAAAAAACCATTCTGTCATTGATTTTGACATCACTAATGCACCGTATTTAACTGAACAGTTGGCAACGGAAAGAATAATTGGAATGTACTTGTCGAAAATATATCGTTTTTCTAAATGCAACTGAATAAAAAATCGCTGTTGCCAAACTTATTTTTGAGATTCATTGATTTATCTTCAACAAAAATAAATTACAGTAGCCTGGTATAACACCGGATCCAAGAAGGAGAACTACATTGCACAAGTTGTCTCTCCTTTTAAATCACTCAAAATCAATGGGAAAGAGAAGAGGAACCTTTGTTACCCCTCCTCGTGAGACTGTTTAGAGCGATCTTGGCGAGAAGCTATATCCTGCTAGGCTGAACGATGAAGAAAGTTGTGTACATACACAAGGCTGGTAGAATGATATCTCTTTATCAAACTCCTATCGTTCTGCCTAACATCCTTTCTCTTGAAAACACTAGAGATAATTCTAGATAGAAACCCTTCGGGTTAGCCCGTTAGACTCCTCTCAATATTGCTACCAAGCTGGTGAAACCACAGTTCATGACTCGCATAATCTAGTAGGCAAAATCAAGCATTCCCTAAAATACGGGGAGATTGTGATGGATGTCTTCCTTCCTCAGTCTCTGTTGAAAGAATATAAATCGACAAACTGACCTGTAATTGGATCATCATTTTAGCACTGCAAGAAGACAAGAGATCTTTTTAGGCCTGCCAGAGGATATCCACAAGACAGCGTACTTCAACTTTATTATGCACCTTTCTGGTTGCTAATCTATTAGACAATCTCTTTCTGCTATGCGGATGATCTGGTAACAAAGAGGTGATCTCTAACATCCTTCGATGAGAGGGGGCAGATATCTCTTGACCCCTGAAAACTGTTATCGTCCCCTTTACCAAGATAAGAAAGCTCGACAAGTAAGTAGGTGAAATATTTGAGGATTCTACTAGATAAGAAACTGACCTGGAACCCTCAATTGGTAAAAACCATCAACACAGCCAAATTATCCAGCTAAACTTTCAGAAGGCTTTGCAAGCAGTCCTTAACTGATCTATTGGATTTAGCAAATCATGGTAAAACTCATGTTTACATAAAGTTCCATCATCCAGTGGGACAAGGGACTCCAATGAACGGCCTGAATAAAGCTGCCTGGAATCCAACGAGGCAATATCAACCACACCCATGAGAGCCATGAAAACCATGCTGGATCTAACCCTCTTCATAATTGGCTGTTAATGGAGACCAGGATGATCTCCTATAAACTCCTGAAGTTAGGTAGTCAATGCAATGAAACACTACGATGGGACAAAACGGGAGATGGGTGAAATTAATAACCACCACGTCGTCTGCATGTCTTCAGACTTACTAGTACCTCGACAGCACAGAGAAAATCTAATAACAAGAAAAAAGGAAAACTGGAAAGCGGTCAGGAGCCTGGCAAAAAATGTCATACAATTTAAAGAGCAAGACGAACGAGAATATCAGTCAGAATAGAACCAAAAAAGACCTTTTGTCATTACGAAGAATATCGAATAGACGATACCACGGTGGCAGAAACAGAGGAGGAGTTTTTAGTGGGTATTAAACCGGTTTCATACTAGATGTACTGGGAGTCCCACACTATCTTTTCGCGTCAGAACAGAGTAAATGGTGTCCATAAAGGATTTTTCCCCTTAAAATAGGTAATCGTATGAGAAGGATAGGTCTGCAAAAAGCGTCGGACTGTCAATTCTGCAACGTGGAAGACAACAACTCAATATTTATCTCATTAATCATATATTTATATAAAAGGTACTCTTCTCACTTACTCCACCTTTTAAAATAATTATGCTTCCAATAATGAAACTCTCTCAAATTTGTTTTACGCTCTCTTTCTTTTCCATTTATGTTTTACCTTAAATGTAATTTTGAAAGATCAATTTCTTTCTGACACTCTTCTTCTGGACTAGACATAGTTGAAGGCGATTCCTTCTGAGATTCTTCATTTTCTGCATCTGATGTTACTTCTGTTTCCTGTAAAAATTCCATTTCGGCATAGCCCTCTTTAATTTTCACCAATTCCCCACCTAAACTAAAAAAAGAAAAAATCAGATACTTATTTGCCACGTATTCTTTTATTATTTACTTACTCCAATCTATTAGGCCTAATGATTCTATTCAAAGCAGGTGGTCTTAAAGATAAATCTGACGTTCTTCTAGTAATCTTTTTCATTTCCACAAAAGGCTTATTTTCATTAGGTTGCTGTGTAAAAGTAGCTATGCTGGCTCTTCTTTGGCTTATAATTTTCCTATTTGGCGTGAGAGGAGACGTACTTTTAAGGGAGGTCGTCGGACTGCCTAGGGAATCAGGCGAATTTTGAAGAACTCTTCTGAAAACATAATTGGATTCTATAATTATTATCTAATATAGGTAAAGAAGATAGGTAAAGAATATAAATAAGGAATGTAGGTAAAAAATATAGGTAAATAATACAAGTAAATATTATAGTTAAAGAACATAGGAAAATAATATATGTAAAGAATACAGGTAAAGAATGTTGGTAAAGAATATAGGTAAAAAATGTAGGTAAAGAATGTAAATAAAGAATATAGGTAAAAAATGTAGGTAAAAAATATAGGTAAAGAATGTAAATAAATAATATAGGTAAAGGATAAAGGTACAGAATATAAGTAAAGAACGTAGGAAATGAAAATAGATAAAGAATATAGGAAAAAATATAAAATATCAAAACGTTTTTTTTTACTAGCTAAAATGACAAGAGCAAACGATTGAGTTATAAGAAAGTCACCAGGAACAATTTTATATAAATGCACAAGTAGGTGAAGGGCCTATACAAGAAAACTTACTCTAGATATATTTGAGTAAAAAGTTTTTTATTTGGATAATTTGTTATAAAACATAGATCCTTTATCTAACATCTAATTTCATTAAAGAAAAACGTGTTAAGATGGTAAAAGATTTACCAATTCACTGTCATTAACTTTATAACTAAATATTGTAAATTCATTTGAGCAAAATGGCTATAGATAAACAGTAGTACTCGAGGGAGTACTACATTGACGAATCGTGTGATCTTGTTGATGGTTTTTGTGAAAACACTTACTTGGTGAATTGCAATTGCCTTCTAGCAGCGTCTCTTTGTTGTTTCAGTGTTTGCACATGGCTAATCATTAAACCTACAGAGTCTGTTAACCTTTCTTCATGTTGTACAGCCCCAAATCGTTCCGCAGACATCGACACTAAAGAAATAGCATTCATTATGGTGTCTATCTGAAATAAAACTGCATTAACAAATGTCAATTGATTTTTTCTACGATCACTGTCCAAATTAGGCTTTTGAACATTCAAATCAAACTGAAAATTTGACTATACAGGGTGATTCATAACTATTGGGACATAGATTAAGGGCAGGTTATTTAGATCAAAATATGGCGATAGGACCAAATATACCTTAATAAAATATGGCTGTGGAATAAGATACAGGGCGTTAAAGTTGAATTTTTTTTTCGTTTTTTTTTATAATCTCACTGTATATTTATCAATTGTTATCAAAATCGGCTCAAAGGCATATCTTTGGACAAGGGATATTATTTTATGTATTATTTCACATTTTTTTACAGGGGGCGCCACGAGAATGATTCCTGATGATGAAATCAAGTGGTAAGTTTTTTGCCGAAACTTTTTAGTGCTTTTTATTAGAAAATATTACGTAAACATCATTTCTACGTAATATTGGTACTCCTGTTTAAACACGATAATTTCACCTGTTTTCGAGAAAAACGCAATTGAACAGTTCAGAGCCTCAGAAGGATATTTCAAAAAATATTTTATTTATGAAAAGTGTGCTTTGGATTGTCAGATAATTGTGTCTGATAAATGTCAGTTCTTGCCAATGAATTATTTTTGCAGTGAGATTATAGTCTATTGTTGCATTTTTAAAGCTTTTTCGACTGAAATGCCTCGTCACAATCATTTTACGAATGAAGAAATGCGGGATATGGTTTGTGTATATGCACAAGAAAATTTTTGCGGTCGCATGGCAGCCAGAAGGTATGAATTGTTATATCCAGACAGAAGGCAACCAAATCACAAAACTTTTGCAAATTTCATCGTTTGGGTGAAACCGGGTCATTTCATAGTAACAATCTGGGTGGTCGTCCGAAACAAATCACACCTAATGAAGAAGATGAAATTTTGATTCGAGTAGATGAAAATCCTGAAGTAAGTTCACGTCAACTGGCAATAACAACAGGAGTAAGTCAGTCGTCTATTATTAGAGTTTTAAAAAAAGAAAAGTTTTATCCTTATCACTTCACTCCTGTTCAAAATTTGCTTCCAAGAGATCTCCCAAGACGGTTACAGTTCTGCCAACGTATTCTCAACAAACATAATGATGACCGAAATTTTATTAAAAATATTATGTTCACCGATGAAGCGACTTTTACTAGACGAGGTGTTTTTAATTATCGAAACAGTCATCACTGGGAAGAAGAATACCCGCATGCTCGTAAAGAAAGACATTTTCAACATGAGTTTAAATTTAATATTTGGTGTGGCATTATAGGCGACCAACTACTAGGGCCATATCGTCTTCCTCCAAATTTAAATGGAGATTCCTATTTATTTTTTTTTGCAAAATTCCAATCTACGCGAGAATCGTTCCATTTGCGGCTAGGGTAAATTTTTTTAATTTTGTTGTCAAATTCTGAGTTTAACAGGATGGGAAAGTGATCTGATCCATATAAGTCAGGGAGTACTCTCCAATTTAACCTATCAATTATATAAGATGACGTTACAGATAAATCTACTGCTGATGGATTTTGTCCAGGCAGAGTTATTCGTGTGGGGCTACCATCATTCATAACAATTAAATCATAATTATCTAATGATTCTATTAAGCGTTCGCCTTGAGTTGAGTTATCCGAACAGCCCCATGAACCGTGATGACAATTAAAATCGCCACAATAAATTGTTTTAAATGAAAATTGTTGAAAAAGTCTGTCCCAATCCATTGTATTTACAGTAATATTCGGAGGTTTATAGATTGAAACTATATTCAATTCAGCATTGTTGATACTGACAGCACAGACTTCAATGGCTTGATTAAAGTTGTTTTTTAATATAATTTCTTTGAAGTGTATACCTTCTGCAACCAGGATAGCTACTCCGCCGTAGCCATCCTGTCTGCATTTTTTTATAATATTAAAACCTTTTTTGTTAAAATTAGCATTTTCTTTTAACCAAATTTCAGATAAGACAATAATATTGATTTCGTATTCCTTAATTAGATTTAAAAGTTCAAATTTTCTAGTAGATGAGGATCTAATATTCCACTGTAAAATGTTAATATTATTTTTATTATTATGATTAATCCTAGTATTCAGAGGCATCGCTATCACTTAAAGTATAAGTATCTATTTTTTCGTTACTAAAATACGGGCTATCCAAAATTTGACAAATACTATTTTTCAAATTTGTTTCATCATAAAATTGATTATTGTAAATGGCGTTTTGAACGAATTGCACTACTTGAGTTAGTATTTTTTCTTTGAATTCCATAAAATCATTTCTGTGAGGATTTGGAAGAATGGAGGAAGAAGCTTTTTGAGCGCCAACTTTTGAAACGGTAGGGGGAGTTTATAAAGGCGACGATGCCTTGCGTTTTTTTAATGGTGAGAAATTTTGATTAGATGTTGCTTGTTTTTTTGGAATAGGCTTTTTTAAAATAAAATTAGTTTTAGGTTCTGGTAATGCTGGGTAATTGTTTGTGTCACTTAAAAGGGAGAATCTGTTATGTGTAGTAATCTTGGCATATGAAGGGTTATTATTATTATTGGTTTTATCAAAAGCATCTAAGTTCATGAAACATCCAAGGCGGACTCCTTATTGTCCAAGGATCTCTCAACTAGGTGAAGGGCTGAATCAGTAGATCTGTCTGGGGTATATGCATGTTGATTTGGGTGTAGTGGTGTTTTTGTGATCACCGCATCCCTTATGCACCTTTCGCATAGTCTTTCAAATTTTTTAATGGAAAACGATGTAAAATTAATAGGTCGGTATGTTTTTGGGACAGTGTAATCCATCCTTCCAGGTTTGTGTATGAATACCACTTTTATCTCTCTCCATTTTTTGGGGATATTCCTCAGAGTCAACAATGATCTGAATATTGCTACTAGGTGCGGTGCGAGTTCTTCCAGACCCCACTGGTCAGGTCCTGGCGATTTAAATGGAGAGAAGCTCATCTTATTTCCATGCCATCCTCTTTAATTAGCGCTACAAGGCTGCAGTGTGGATCTTTTGAGAGAGCTTTTTGAAGCCTCTTTGCCTGCGGAAAATCTTTGATTTTTTTTACAGTAGCATCTCTATGCATCTCTCTGTTTTTGGTTTACAGATTTTTTGTATTCTCTGATGTAAGATCCAGTCCCCTTTGCGATTTTTGGTTCTTGCCATATTAAATAATTTCCTAGCCATCTTCCTAAGTGCAACGCTTGTGACGCGATAAGGTAGAAAGGTATGTAGTGCATCTGAGCCCTACAATACTCCCCCCTCCTTTTTAAGGTAAAACTTTAAATATAGTGTATGTTTTTGCATTAATAATTGCGAGGTATTTGTTAGGTTCTTTCTACTTGAAGAATACTATGGTAGAAAAGCTATGGACAATATTTACGATCTTTTGGTATATATGTGTGTACAATTGGGTCCTTTATCATGTTGTTAATTGGTCCTTATATAATGTGGACATTTGGCAGTCCTCTGCAAAATGCTATTTGTATGTTGTGTGATATATATTTTGTATTGTTTTGCGATGCCTTTCAAATAAATTTTGTAGTAAAATATTGTGTGATCGTAGAAAAAAATCATTTATGTAATTCGAGCGGAAAGCTAAAATAATACTTTCCTCTCTTAATACACAAATAGATATTATTTATAGATTAAAAATGTAATATCAATGAAAATACCTGTGTGACTATAGTTGAAAATAACTCTGCTTTTTCGTAATCCGTACAGAGAGGTTGCATCAACGTCAGTCTCTCCCGGAGTTTCTCAATTTCCATATTGAGATTGGTTTCGGTTTGGTCTCTGGATCGCTTTTGACGCTCACATCTGTCTTTGATGGTGGCAGCATCTATGGTGAAAGCTAACGCTAAACTGGTGAATTTTTGTTCTAGTTCCTCCTCGCTGATGTGCTCTCTAAGAAAAACAATTGAATTTAAGTCATACATTTCTGAATTTTAGAAAATGTTTTATGATAATCAGAATGAATATTAAAAGGTTAAAAATGAAAATACTTAAGTTAGATATGAAACGAGACTCAAGCTAATTTCGTATGCCTTATGTGAAGAAAGGTTGCAACATTTGAGCAAATCCTCATATTTTGTTGCAAATAATCCGGTAAAAATAATAGATAATATGAGAGGAAATTTGATGATAGGGAAAGCGTATCTCTCTTTGCTCCACACATTATTTATTAGTAATCTGTATGGTAATTATTGAAATCGAAAACAGTTTGCATTACTTAATTGTTGAACAAACAGTACCTTGACCTTTGTTAGAATTACATGATGTTTATTATCAATTAAACTTGTATGTTAACAACATCCAGTTCTAATTTAAAAAATTAATTTTGTATTATAATACATTTTTTAATGATTTAGTAAATTAATCAAATTTAACTAGAGATAATCTAAAAATAATTTCATAAAACTTAATAAATTCCAACCAAGTGAAAAATAAGGACTCGATTTATTACAACGAGAACAGAAATGTAGTAGAAATTTCTAGGGTAACACGTAAAGATCTAGTCAAGGCATTCAAAGGAAATATTAATTCTAAGAAAGCAGTGGTATGATCTGATCACTGGTGGAATATTGAAACATTTGCCAAGAAAAGCTGTGGTTAAACTCACTAATATAATAAACGCTGTATTTCCAGGAAATGTAGGCAAGTACAATTCGTATAGTAGAGTAAAGTAGGCTGAAATGGCCACCATTTTGGTAAGTCGGTGGCTGTAAAGCTTTGGTAAGGGTTAGGCTTACATTATATTTTTCTAGTAGCTACTCAACTTTTGTGACTATAGGTAAATAAATAATTACGATGAAAATACTTTTAATTTTTTTTTTAATTACGTATAATAAAAGATGCAATTGGCCATCTATCCCCATTCAGGTAGGTGAGTTGCCCAATGTATTAAGGAAGAGATGGCCACAAAATATAATTGACAGTAAAATAGTAAAACGTAAATATAACAAATTTTACTACTTTTTAAACTCATTTTTACCAGTTTTGGCAAGTGTTTATAAAAGAAGAACAAGTTTCATGAAAACACATCTGGCATATTAAACACTGCAACCAATCTTCTTTTTTTTTTCGGGTGCGGTTGTAACTTTCTCCACATCCCGTTCATTCGGTCTCATCGATCACTGAAAGGGTATCACCGTCTTCTTCAAATTAGTCTTCTTCATCAGAACTTGGCGAAGGTAAGCGTTTTCTTTTTCGGCCAATTGTTTTTTCTTCCCGGGATGTTCGGTTTTGTTTGTTTGGTTTTCTTTGCTGTTCTATTTTTTACAGTCGCAATGTGCTCAGGGGAGGTGAATAGAGTAGCAACGGTTTTTGCTCGTTTTTTTGCAGAGACCACTAGTTTGGGTGTGGGGTTAATCTGGTCTAAAAGTGTTCCAGGTGGAACAGGGCTAACTTCCACTGGAGTTGAACATCGAGTATCTGTATATGCATGGTAACAGGATGGTATTGAGTCCATCAGAATATTCATAATTTGACTTTTGGGTGGTTAGGTAGTTACTTCTTGTGTCGGTTCAACGTTCTTTGCTGTAAAGTTTGTATTTTGAATATTCCTTACTTGTTTCTTTCTTTGTTTCGGTGTTTATTATTTGATCAGAAACTGTATAAACATGATCGCTAGGAGTTCACCAAACTGGAGTCGCCCTAGTTTTCTTTCGGGATGACCCTGCATCCATTCTCTGTAAGCCTGATAGTAGAAGGTTTTTAATGAAATAACATAATTTGCTTCATCTGTTTCTAATAGTTCAACACAAGAACAATGAGATGAATGCCCGTCCAGAATTAACAAAGCCTTTTCTTCATTTTTACGTCGTATGTAATGATTTGTAAACCAGTTTAAAAATATTATTGATGTTACGTAGGCTAATTTCTGAGACATGACAATATTTGCACCAGGTGGCATTGAATAAGTCCATTCAGTCTTTATGTTTTTCCCTTAAACACGCTTACTGGCGGAAGAAAAGGGCACTCGGCATTACAGCAGGCTATACATGAAATTGTCTCACCCTTTTCCCATGATGTCACTGTAACAACGTCTTTTGCTCCCTTTGCGACTAAAATAGGTCGACATTATAGATGGTCTCAGGTTTATTAAGGAGCTCATTTTCTTTCAGTGTAGTTTGCAGAAGTGTAAAATAATTACCCACGTCTACACGGTTCATGCCCTCACCTCGCCCTAGGGACACACCCTTAGCTTTCCGAATAGACATGTCGGGATGTCTTCTAAAGAAGGACCTAAACCAATCAGAACCAGCAATTCCTTTTTACTTTCCTATCTGTATACAGATATAAGGAAAGTATAGGAATCATGATTTTTTTTGACCTCGAGTTTTCGACGGATTTTTACGTTTTGAGGTCCCCTGAATCCCTTTTGACTATTTTCGCGATGATGTCTGTGTGTGTGTGTGTGTGTGTGTGTGTGTGTGTGTGTGTCTGTGTGTGTGTGTGTGTCTGTGTGTGTGTGTGTGTGTGTGTCTGTAGGTCGCATAACTCATGAACCGATACACAGAAAAACACCAAATTTTAAACTTAAGCTTTATTCCAGCGTCTAATGAACTGATTAGATTTTGGGCAGAGTCGGAACATCTGGGGGGGTACTTTATAGGTGGTCATTTTTATATTTTATGGAATATATCTGATATTTACGTTTGGAGAAGAAAATTCTTCAAAAAAAAGTTACTTATAATATAATTATCTATAATTTTTGTTCTATACAAAATTTTCCTAAAATGGTCCGTATTCGAGAAATTTGACAAAATGTAAAAAAAAATATTTTTTTATAAAAATTATTCAAACAAAAGTTGTTTGCAATATCATTCTCTATAATTTTTATTCTATACATAGTTTCTCTAAAATGGACCGTATTCGAGATATTTGAGAAAATGTGTAAATTTCGAATTTTGAAGAAAACTCAAAAACGGATAAATAAAAAAACAATAAATTTTAAACTTAAGGTTTATTTCGGCCTGACGTAAAATGATTAGATTTTGGACAAAGTCGGAACATCTAGGGGGGTACTTTATGGGAGGCTGTTTTTATATTTTATTGAATATATCTGTTATTTATGTTTGGAGGAGAAAATTGTTCAAATAAAAGTTACTTCTAATATTATTATCTATAATTTTTGTTTTATGTCAAAATTTCCTGAAATGGTCCGTATTCGAGAAATTTGACAAAATGTGCAAAATTCTGATTTTTATGAAAATTGTTGAACTAAAAGTTGTTTGCGATATCAATCTCTATAATTTTTGTTTATACATGATTTTTCTAAAATGGACCGTAATGGAAAAGTGCTAAATTTAAATTTTTCAGTATTTTCGTTTTCAATGAATATCTATAGAAAAATGTTTTGAGGTAGATGTATGTAGACAATGTATATATTTAGTTTATCCTCTAAACATTTATAGAAATGCTGCAATAGGTTGTACAAAATAACCGGAAAAGGCCTATAAAAACTAGATAGGAAAGTCATGTGTCGGACACATCAGATTTTTCTTTATTAAATTTATGATTAATTTGTAGACTTTTGGCGAAATTGTAGGCAAGCTTCCGAATATCTGGTACCGTCATAGGAAAACCGTATTTTTGTGACTTCGTAATATGTAGCATTGACGTCCCCAACATGCTGTCCGATCCCATTTTACCAGTTGTGGACACATTATTTTTATCTTCCTTTCAAGGGTTTTTCTCGGAATGCCATAATTTTTTAAAGCCCCATTTACAGAAGAACCGCTTTTAACAGTTTCAATAGATTTTCCTCCGTATAGTTTCCACGATTTGAGTTTTGTTTTTTATAGTCTGTTGGCATTTTTTAGCAGTACATTATTCACTTGAAACAAAACAGACGTGAAAAAGAGGTGGCCATCTATCCCTACCGTTTGATGGCCATCTGTACCTACTCGTAAGGATAGATGGCCACCACAACTAGCAACACCCACTGAATATTTTTTACTGTTTTTAGAGGTTAAGATTTCTAAGTAAACATCAAACTTACTTAATTTGTAAAAACAAGTAATACATTTCTATCCATAGATTCACAGGAGTACGTAGTATGCAATTATTATAAAATTGTACCACTACACAAAATTGTTTTTATTCACTGAATGCTTTATTATTAGCATGGTCTGACTTAGACAAAATCACACTACGAGTGATCCTCTTTATTATCTAGTCTAAGGCGTGATCAGACGCCAATGTTTATTGCCTGAGCCTTATATATGTGACATTAAGTAAAAATACAAAAATTAGATAACAAAATACATATAACCTATAAAAAATATAATATTTCTGTCAAAAAGTTATGCCACCCAAAAAACCTAAAAAAAACGCGGTTGGTTTCTAGCATCCATTTCATAATAGCGGTCGTGAACGTGTTAAGGATTTAAAAAATAAGTTAAGGTATATTTAAAAAGTAATATAATAAAAATTAATGTTTCACTAATTAATTTACCGGCCATTTCATTCAGGATTTCTGTTATTGTTCTCAATGGGTATTTAAAACGTTGTTTCGAAAAAATACATTTGATTGTTCCATTTCTCCAAAAAACGTTTGGACAGTTTTCTGTACCTTCTCAGGATAGGATAATTATGGGTTTTTTCATATATTTTAGTGGCCGTGTAGGTGCTAATGCCTTCTTTTTTAACCGGAGGAGGTTCTTAATTCGTCGGTATATATTGTAATAAAAACACCCTACATGCAAATAATAATAATAACAATAAATAATAATAAAATAATAACAATAATAATAATAATAATAAGTTGGAAATATTATACCCTGTATATTAGAAATTGATACAAGAAAGTCATAAGTGAAGGAGACTTTGGGAATTAGGTAGAAAAGGGTGGTTTCTAGATTTGGGGAATGATGGATTGGTCAATTTTGAAAATTAAAAAA